CCTGAAACTCAGCTGTTTGGACTTGGACTTTCTTTGCATTGTTTTTGCATTTTCTTATATTGTAAGATTGTTTTAGTGATATGATAGAATTTTATCTTCTACAGGTGAAGAAATTCCCTGTTCATTCCACACCAGCACTTCAGTGAGGTTTTGATTGGCAACAGATAACCTGTCAAGTGTTTGTTCTTTCCTCTGCATGTGCACAGCAGAGAAAATTGCAAACACTTTTCTTTTTAATTTAACAAAATAAAAAAAGGTGACATGTCGCAGACATCTTTTCATTAAAATCCTTTGTTAGGACTTTTCCTTGTGAGAAGCTGCAGTTTCAGCAACCAAATGTAAACAATGATTATCTGCTGCTGTGGAATGCAACAGGTGGATCCGTGATTGGTCTCGTGTGGATGTTTGGATTTACTGACCACTCATGGCAGAGCTGGGTCTCGCTCTCTGTCTGAGCCACAGATCTTTATTATTAATTCTTTTCTATTCTTAGCATAGCTAGCCTTCTGAGAACTTCTCTTTCTATTATTTTTAGTATAGTCATATGTTATATATATATATATATCATAAAATAATGAATCAAGCCTTCTGATCATGGAATCAACATTCTCGTCTCTCTCTCATCCTGCAAACCCTTGTGACCATGGTCACACTCATGCTGTATTCTGGGATATTTTTTATAGCCATCTTTTGGTTACTATATTACATCCCCGAAGAAGAGGCAGCCTGTTCCTTTGCTCATGAGATCTGATTCATCAGGAGGTGACATCGGCCGAGAGATTTCACAGTTGTCTGAGGTGTTTTCAGGTACTTATGGAGCAGCTCTTTTTTTCTATGGGGCATTAAGGGAGCATATGTATCCAATGATGCAGGTTTTTTAGACAATTTCTTTACTGTAAATTAATTGCTTTTTTTTGATGTTGTTGTTGTTAGATGACTTGGAAGCACAAACAAAAAAACATGCAAATTTTACCAGCTCTGAAGGTTCAGGGCATAGGGTGGATACTGCTGCTGGAATGCGTGAAAATATTAATACAGAAGCTGCTACCAAAAGTAAAGCAAAGGTATTTCTCTTGTATTTTTCTTTAAAGTGCAACTATGAACTGAAACAAAATTCAAATTATTCCAATTATTATTGTTTCTTTGAATACAGCTGCATTTTGGCTTTCACGTCAGCTCACTGCTTTTTATATTGATCATTTGAATCCTAGTAGGTGCCCCTGTTTCTTAGGTAGGTTTGATTAGAATAGCATGATCCATTAGTAGTAGTAAGTTAGGTGATAGTATCACCATCTCATTTTCCTTTTCCTTTCTGCTTCACTTTAAGAATTGCTCAGTCTGTCAGCCCACAGTTTTTCAGAGACTCATAGGCCATTGATGTTCTGTGATCAAGTTTCTGAATTTCAGCTGTGTCTTCCCCTTCTATTTTTTTAATGAAACAGCTTACCTTTAACATTGGAATAAAATATTTCAGTTGATAGAATTTAAGAAGATAAGCATGGTGCAAGTCTGAGAAAACTGTCTTTTTAGTTTGGTAGTCCTTGATACCTACCTTCCCTGTCTGTGTCTCCTCCCTAAGCCGGCTGTCAGCACTCCTCCTAATGCAGGCCAGGATGCTGTTGAGCTTCTTTGCCTGGCTTGTGGTCAACTTCCTGTCTGCCAGGACCCTCGAGTCCTTTTCTGCCCAAGCTGCTTTCCAGATGGTTGGCCCAGGGCCTGTACAGGGGCCTGGGATTATTCCTCCTTATGTGCTGGTCTTCACATTTCCCTTTGAACTTCTCAGCCGATCTTTCTGTCTTGTTGAGCTCTCTCTGAATGACAGCTGACTCTCTTGGTCTATCAGCCACAACTCCCAATTTTGTATAATAATGGAACTTCTTGAAGGTAACATCTGCCCAATCATCCACATCACTATTGAAGTTGCTGAACAGTACTGGCCCCTGTCTTGATCCCCAGGATACTCTACCAGTGAGTGACTGGCCTCCTGATGGACTTTAGTGCTGCTGATCTACCTTTTGAGCCTGGCAGTTCAGCTTGTTTTCAGTCCAGTCATGGTGTGTGTGTCTGCTCTGTGCTTTATCTGTCTTTTGATGAGGAGGTTGTTAAGTCATGCATGTGTATCTACAGGAGGACAGGTGGTTTCAATTCTTCCTGAGTCTTTCTGTCTGAGAGAGACAGAAAGGTCCAGAGCCCAGTTTCCAACTGTCTACCTACTCTGTGCCCTTTGCTAAGAATAGCCAGTGTGAAAACTAAAGAAGAAATCAGACTTGAGTAGTAGAAAAAGCTGTAGGAATAGCTGTGTCTTCTCTCTATAGAGGCAGATGATTTCAAGTTAATTTGGATGTTACTGTATATTTGATCATGGTAACTTCTCTGCTGTTTGTCCCTGATAGGATTTTCCTCCCAGTTCTTTCAACTGAACTGAATAAAGCATCTTAGGATTTTTAAAGTTTCACAGGAGCTAAGGCTTCCTAGTAGAAGGAAGAATTATTTATTGTTATTATTTAGTCTAGAAAAGCTTTTGTGAAGTAGACTTTAAAAATCAGGAGAGTGAGAATGTCTGTTGCAGCGTTCCTTCTAGACAGGTGTTTCAAAATGCATCAACGAAGAGTGTTAATATAGTCCCATATCCTAAAATGCAAACATGAAACAAAACATTAAACAAAAAGTTTTTTGCTGTGATGCTTAACTCATTTTGTTTTGTTCTAGGATGGAATTCATAAAGGCAAGTTTGAGGATAGCTTGTCTAATAATTCTGACTCTGTCTTGAGTATCAGCACAATTGCAAATGCTATTGCTAATGCTTCCTCCAGTGCTGAACCTTCCCAGCTAGCTGCTATGATGATGGCACTCTCCAATAAAAGTAAAAGAACACGTGTCCTTCCTAGAGCTGTTAAAGAGGCTAAACTCTCTACTAATGAGGCATTATCCAGCAATGAGGAAAACAGTACATTTGATATGGAAAAATACCTCAAAAAAACAGATGAGAACAGATGTGAAAGTGAATACGAGAGTGTCATGAAACATGAAGCATCTGTCCAGAACTTTACATCTGATACCTTTTTAGTGGGTAAAGAGAAATGTAAGGATGCTTTTGCAGAAGACTGGATCAATAATCACAGCAAACAGCAAGGAATAGAGAAGCGATTGCTTGATTATCTTAATGAAGAAGGTGACAGTCAGAATTTTTCTAGTCTATCTGGTGTTCCCAGCCACAGAGATGTAAATGCAGATAATGTTCGGTGTTCAGAAAAGTTGTCAGATTTGGTAAATCGTAAACATTTACAGTCAATGGATGCCAATATTGGATCAGAGACACTTAATGAAAATGAAGCCCACACATGTGGAATTCTCTCAGCAGCAAAACTGGAAGTGGCACAGCGACATCTACTTGCTTACCAGAACAGCAATCTCACTAATGCATGTAGTATAGGGGAAGATAGAGAAACAGCAGATCAAGCAGCAAATGCTGTTCCTGAACCGTGTAATGATTTAGTGGAGAGAAGTGCAGGAAATACCGTGCCCCTCAGCAACTTAAAACCTGCCAAGCAATTGAGTAAATGTGTCTCGGTAAGTCCTACAGCAGCCAAGCCTGTGCAGAAATTGAACAGTGATGACAGGAGGCAAAATACAGAGAAGAGAAACAAGGATGCCAGTACTCCTCATAGGGGGAATGCAAAACATGTGACTTTTGAGAAGCTGTCCCCAACTTTCCAGACTAATACTGGTAAGTAAACCTATATAGATGCAATTATTTGTTGAAAAAGCTTTTTTTTTTTTGTCAGTAAACTTGTTTCCTGTCCATAAATAAATATGGTGCTTAAATTTTGTTTATTTGCCAGAGCATAAACCCGTTCTACCTGAATGTGACTTAAATCTGGAGGGTGAGCAGTGTAGCTTCAGACCTTCAACTTCACCTCTGATTCACTCTTCTCCTAGTGAGACTTCTGGAACAGCATTTTCAGGGTAAATTTCTTGGTGCAGGTTACAAGAATTAGTGCTTCATAAGGATTGTTGAGGGATCATGTGTTCGTTTGAATGTTGACTGTGATCTTTATTAGGCTAAGACTTCCTTATACATTAAGCTGGACATTGTATAGACCAATGTAGATGTGTTTTTTAAACTTAGAAGTATTTTGCTCCATCTGGTTCTCTGATTTGTGTCATTGCCTATTGTGGGAGAGGGTGGGTAGAAATATTTGTGTGGCTTTTGACTATTTTGATACATACTAGTGTGCAAGGTTTAAGGTTACCTTAGCAACTGAAAGTACAATGTTTCTTAAATGAGTTCCAGTAACAGTAAGTATCATAAGATTCCAACTAAATTAATTTTGCAATCTTAAACACTAACATGGCCAGTAGCTAATGGTTGTGTGCAGACTGATAAGATGAGGCAACTGATTTCCCTGACTTAACTTTGAACTTCGTTGTTTGGTATTTAATGTTCATGTTTGGATGTGTTATTAGAATTACAGGCTCTCTGGCATTTCTCAGAAATTAATATGTGCAGGAGAATGTGTATTTTTGCAGCCATGTTATATAGCTCTTAGGATGTCCGGTTAAAATTGTCAGTGCTTTAATTGTTGTCATGTTAGCTTTTTTTGTTGAGCAAAGTGCTGAGAGACCCTGTGTTTTCAGGTGTTTGAAATGAAGAGAATCTCAGCAGTGAATAGGAAATCTAATGGTGTGATGGGAGGTTAAATGATTTCATTTGACTTTTTAATCTAGTTAGATACAAGTATATTGATTCACCTCTTTTAATAAGTTGTGTTGCTTCTGTGGCCTTGGCATCTGAGGTCAGTTTTGGAATTCTGATGTTTTACCTATATGGATTTATATAGAATGAAAATGTGTTTTGTGTACATCAAAGCCAGAACTTGTAAAGACTGGGAGCTGATTTCTCATTTCTACTGCATTTAACAGAACAACTAATTAAGTTGACTCTTAGAATAGTATAGGTAATGGCTAACACTGATTTTCTTGATGGCAGCATTAAAAGTATATATTTTATTATTGGCCTATTTTGAATCTCTTTTTTAGATCTGAAGTGGACTTTACTCACCCATCACGTTGTCAGGAATCTCCTTGCAAAGAGAATGTGGTACCTCCGTCTGTTTACTCGAGCCCAAGCATGAGCAGGTTAACCTATGTCTCTGCATCCGGCAGCGCCCGTAAGAACTCAACAGTGATGCATAGTCCAGAGACATCCTGGGTAAGGAAAAAATCCAGCACCTCAACCTTACCCCCAAACCAACATTTATAGGTCAAAGTAATTCTAAATTAGAAAAGCCTTAAGGGTTTTCAAACAGTTTAGGATATGCTGTGCATAGGGAGAAGGTATTCTTCTTTCCAGCTTCTGAGTTATATGGAAATTTGAGTTTTGATATCAACTCTGCTAAATGCGCACACTCTAATAAATACAAACATAGTAAAACAAACAAAGAACTAGGAACTTTTGAAAAAGTTTGAGTTGATGTATTTTTTCCTTTAATTCTTTTTGATAGTTTCTCATTAAGTCATTCTGTTCTTGGAATGTGCTGCAGTATTCCAGTAGTATTTTGCAGGATCTATATTGTTCTCATCATACCTGAGGCTCCCTTGCTGTTCAGCTTCAGCTGTTGGGAGAATAATTTTCCTGGTTTGTTTTTTTTCTGGAGAAATATTTATAAATACATAATGTAGCTTGGACTACTTTTTTCAGGACTGAAGCTATAATTTTCTACCTCTGACAGTCATTCTCACTGTTTTTACTGGTTTAGAAGAGAACGTGCACTGAGGGTAAAATTTGTGTTCAGACTTGCAGTCTTACCCTGATTAAAATAATTGGCAATCTTTTATCTGAATTTGTGCATTCCTTGGAATCTGAAATCTGTTACGTCTCCCCCTTTCCAAAGTCTGTGTAATTGTGGATGGAATTGTAAAAACAGACAGATAAAACCTGAAGAACCTTTCTGATTTACATGCATGTCTGTAATATGAATATGAATGCTTATTCCAGCTATACCCTACCTGTCAAAATGGCAGTTCTCTGGACTTCAGTGATTTCTTATGAGCGCACAAAGAAAATGTCTATATCAGTGCATTTCCATGCATCTCAAATCCTTTTTGGTTACTGATTTGGTTCAAGACCATTCAGTTTTTTGGTTTTTTTTAATCTGTCTAGTATGTCTGGTGTGTTGTCAATGCTGTTTTGAACATAAATCTAAAAATACAGCACCACAGAGACCGCTGCAGAGAAAATCAACTCCATCTCAGCCAGACCCAGTAAAATGTGTCTTAAGGACAGCAGACAGGTTGATGCTGCAAGTTTTCTTTTTCAAGGTGAAGAGTCACAGTTAAAAAAGTAAAACTTCAGACAAGACAAACTTGATTATTTATATTGGATGGCAGTCCCAATAATGATCAGACAGGAAAGTTTCCAGGCAGCACAGAAATACGTGTGTCTTATGTACCCTATTGCTTTTCTTAAATATGTGATACTGCATGTTATATTTGTTTACTAGGAGGAAGATGCTGGTGAACTGAGCACAACAATAGTTCAGGCCAGCCCAGTTCCTCTGCAGGAACATAGAAAAGAAAATCTAGAAGACCGCTCATGTCAAAGAAATAGAAAAAAAGCAATACTTAGTACTGACCAGGAACAAGAAGAAAATGAACTTGCTGGTCTTCAAAGAAAACCTCATAATGTACTGGACCAAGAACTGGCCAAAGAAGGTTTTCTGAGGATGAATCAGCTTCCATTTATTCCTTCAAATGTACCAGCAAATCATGAAGAGCTAGACCGTGTTAAATCAGCTTTACCAAGTAAACACTGCACCTTTCCGCCACTTTCTGTCAACATGGATGCACAAGAACTGTGTCAGGATCAAACAAACAAAGCACAGAGACAAGGATTGCCTGTTTATTCTGGATTAAACACCTGTTTGCCATGCAAACAAAACCCATGTGGTGAACAGCATGTTCATATATCAACTGTTAAATCCCATGTCACTACCTCTGAGAGTCAAGCAATCTCCTCTTCGGTCCCCACCTTGCTTACAGGGCATTGTCTCGCAACAACTCCATTTGCACAACAGCATCTGGGAGCTAAACAACCTCCAGGAAATGCAGTTCTGTCTCACTTTCATGGCTGCAATGCTGCAGGTTTTGGCCTTCCAGCAGGGCTTCCTTGTTCTGGTATCCCAGGAGGACATGTTGAGAATCCACTTATGTTAGGAATTCCTTTAGGTCCAAATATTGGTCCTGGCTTTTTGGGTGCAGCTTCACTTTATAATCCACACAGTACCTCATGGAATAATAATATCTTAAATATAAAACCATGTACTGGACAACCTCTTGGAGCTGGGGGAAGGGAGTGGGAGTTGTCGAAGTCACCTGATAATGGTGAGTGTGATTTTTACAGTGTATTTGAAATACAGCTGTGGACAGGAATGGTGATAGTGATGTTGCTTATGTTAGAGTAAATACAATTAAGATGGTACTAAATGTAACTGCAATTATTGTTTGTGCAAACCCTGTTACTAGTTTTCCTTTAATGTTGTTCTCTGAATTTAGTGCCTATTCTTATAGCTCCCCTAATGGTCTTAAAAAAAACATTTATCAGAATTTCAGCATTCTTCAATATTAATTAGTTGTCTGTTTGTGTGAAGGATGTAGCACTACCTTTCATAGGAGGAAGAGAAATCCTAGCTGCAGTTCAAACTAGGCAAGACAAGTCATGCTCTTGAAATTCCATTGTATTTTATCTGGAAAGTAGAGGACATTTCTATTTTCAGCCTAATTTAGTGTTAGCAGTCAGTGAAGGCCAAAACTCATAAGAAATTTGAACCCCATGGAGGGTTGAAACTGTTTGCTGGTTATGCAGGGAAGGATGAGCTAAGTGTTCTCTGTCCTTTCTAGACTTAGCTCTAAACCTAAGCAACACAAATTACTATTTAATTTTAAAAACTTATTTTAACCTACAGTCTTGCTGTACTTTTTTTTTTTCCTGGCTAATTCTTTCAGCCTAAATGACAAACTAGTAGAATTGAAGATTTGAATATATAAGAGTTTAGAGCTTGTTTATTGATTGTTCCAAATCATTGATCTTAGTGCATTTTAAAAGAGTGAAATACTCCTTACCAATTTTTATACTAACAAGATTTTGTGCTAGTAATGTTCAGATTTTCCGAGCTGGGCTAGTGCCGATTAAATTGTGACCACAGAGTGTTTATCAAGTATGTGTGTGTGTGTGTGTGTATATATATATATAAAATATATACACACTTTGTGGGTCTGTATGGAATGTGCCATTTCCATAAGTATTTGCTTGTGTGACAGTAAAACTTTAAGATGCAAATTAGAAATGATCAAAATGTCAAATTTCACGCTTATGAAAAACATTCTTATGAGAACTGTGGGAGTCAAACATTTCCTTGCCATAATGAAGCATTTGTCAGATGAGTTCACAAACTTGGTGGCAGCCTGAATGCTGATTTGCTTCTGAGTACTTGTAACTAATAGGAGCATTTTTTCTTCCAAAGGACATATAAAAGTGCCAGAAGAACTGAAGTTTCCTACTGCCTGTTGTGTGGGAATTGCATCTCAGACAGTTCTTAGTGTTTATAATCCAACTGACCGGTGGTTGCAGGTCAACATTGGGATACTCAGTGTTTCAGTTAATGGGGAAAGGGTAAGAGATTTTTTCTTTTTCATAAAACTGATTAATATTGTAATCTTAGCAGATATCATATGTAAAAACAAGGCCCTCTGTACAGATCTGTGATTTTTTTTCCTGTTTTATCATTAATATGCACAAAATCAATGCTAATTTCTTTAGCCAGGCCACCTGACTTCCTCTAGCAAGTAGACTTTGTGAGGTAAATGCCACATGAGGATTGCTCTGTAGAATTATATTGTGTGTATGTAAAGTGGAAGGTTTGAGTTTGAGTTATTCATTCCCACCTTTGTACATGCAAGAAAAGTCAACCATAGGCCAGAAAACATCCATGCTACTGAAAAAAACTGCTATAGGACTGTTACTGCAAAAATATTTTTGGCAGTTTTCTCCTCTTTTTCTTGCAATCAGGAGATCTTGAGTGATGGAAAATGAGAAATATTTAGGGCAGGCTTCAAGCTAGATGGGTTGTCCTGTGGGTTGTAGGTAGCTTGTAGGCCATATGTTGGCTGTCTTCCACTTCAATTTTGTTAAATTCTGTATAATTCTGTTATCATACTAATAGTTCCAGAAGTTAAATACCTTGAGAACTTGAGAATGAGTTAGATTCAAGGTCCATCAGAAGGATTTAATTTCTTTTATTGATGAATAGACTTAGTAGATAAGAATATAACAACAGAACAGGCATAGGATGCTCTGAGCTTTTGGCAGTTTGATACCTGGTAACTTTAGTTAGCTGTTATTCCTGTTCTTACTAGTTTTTGGTATAGTGCTCTTTATCTAGCTAATCTGTTGAAATTATGAAGTGTTGTCCACAGTTCAGTTCAGCTGTAGATTGTATCAAGTATTGCTTTTTTCTTTTTTAAAATACGGTTCATGCTGGTTTTATTTCGTCCATATTACTGAGGAATAGCAGACAATTATTTGCTTTAAATATTGCATCTTCTAAGTCTTAGAAATCCTGATCACATCCCTCAGGTATATTCTTCCAGCAGATGTAGCATGTGTCTTTCCAGGGGTATGATTTCTGGTTTTGATCTTGTTTTCTTAGAATGCTTCCTCTTTGAAGAACATCAGGCCACAATTCTGTATGCTTGTGTGTATGTATAGATGTGTGTGTGTGTTTGTGTGTGTGTGTGTGTATATAAGGATTTGTTGCATAATTTTCTAATCAGCTTCGTAGAGCTTTTATGCATCTCCTGTAAACAGTGATTCTGTTAGATCAAGAGGTGATTTTTTTAAAAATGAAATTGCTTTACAATTGTTTTCATGAATAAATATATGCAATTGTTTGCACAGTGTGCTTAAAACCGATGTTTTTTCAGTCAACTTTGAGATCCGCTGCTGTTCTTTCTCAAAAATCAGGGTTTTACTTAATAATTTTTCCAGTGTCAATCTTTCACTAGATGGTAGAAAGAAACCTCAGCAATTTTCAGGCTGACTTGTCTGTTTAAATTAAAAGAAGAGGTCTGCAGTCGAGCAGGATGCAAATGGGCCATGGATATGAAGATGCATTAATTAAATGGAGGAGAAATATATACAAAATGTCTGTGTTAAGCAGTGGTGCCAGATGGAAATGAAATGTCTTCTGGTAAAAGGCCTGTTTGAAAATGCCAGGTATTTTGTTTTTCAGATGGATCCTATGAAATATCCATGTTTGGTTTTCAAGAATAAAACCATTGTAGGACCCTACTCTACCAACGACCTGAAAATACTTTTCTTACCTTCCCGCTCGGGCATCTTCCAGTGTATCCTCAATGTTTCATCTTGGCCAGTTTCTGCAGATGCTGAGACAATCGTTCAGTCAGAAGCTTTGGCAAGCAGGGTAGTTCTGACAGCAGTTGCTGAAAATCCTAATTTAGAAGTAAGTTGCTGTTTATTGTGGGTCTTTTGTTGTTGCAATTTTATGAATAATTTCATGACACTGGAAAATAATAGGATTGCAAGGTTGCTCCTCAAAGAAACCTGGAATTTCATATGTTTGAGTGGAATAGAGGAAATTTTTGAGAAGCACATTGTTATCTGGGAAGTTCCAGTTGTTCAAAAACAGCTAGCTAGAAGTGAAGGCTTCTGTGTGGAAAGAATAAATTAAAAATTACTTTTTTCTTGGGAAAAGACTGGGCATTACTTTTTAATTCTTAAGACCTTAAACATCTGATGCTTCGCTTATCAGATGCTTATCTGCTGTGTTGGATTGGGAATTTATCATAACAAAAAGCATTTATTTCCAATTGTAAGGATTTCTTTATTTTTTACATCAAGTAGGCTTTGTATTGGTTTCTCACTACCACTACCTTGTTTATGATTGTAGAGAATATTTTCTTATTTTGGACTAATTAAAAATTAAAACTACATGCATGTGTAAAGTGCTTTTGTCTTGTGTCTTATCATGAAGAACAACCAAGTGAGAGAGTGTGACAATAATTAAATCTGGCTTCCTGTAGTTCTTGATTTAAGAGTATGGACAGGCATAGAAAGGCTTGATGATACTTGTGGAGGTGCCTGAACAAATTACATGGTAGTCTGTGACATGGTTGATAAAAGTAAAATTTTCAGTCATCAGCCACAGTGGACATTTTCTTTTAATTTATGGTGGTCTTATAACTTGTTTTGGGCTAATTGTGTTTTGAAGTAATGAACGCACACAAATTGACATAATTTTTAATGCTTCTTCAATAAATTTTTATTTCTTTTTAATGCATTTTTAATGCTTTCACATGTAGTCCATTCTCCATGTTACTCATAGTATATTCAAACTTGTGTCATGTTCAAATAAAATTTAAACCTTGTGCTCAATCTCTGCATGTTGTTACATTCCTGAGATTGGAAAAAGTACCAAATAAAAGCTGTATTTTGCTGCAGATCATGACATTTAGGTGTTTTTAAGCGAGCAAAAATTACTGTCCCTTATTTTCTTAACTTTCAACTTGCTGAAATGTGTTTTTAGCTATCTAAAACTGGCATTTCTTACTTGCTAGCAATAATCATGGTTTAAACTTACTTTTAATTAATTTGAATTATCCAAAATAACTTGGTTGTGTGCTGGATTTTGGTGGATAAACATTGCACTAAGACTGGCTTAATTGATTGAGGTAAAATGTATGGGAGATAGCCAATTGGCTGTAGCCCCTTCTAATAACAAAGAAAACATGATTCCTATGCTGTAATAGTTTGTATTATATGTGGATATAGGGTTAAGAGGGTGAAATAGATGAGTAACATCCTGGTACTTTTGTAAGGTAGAGTGTTTTCAAGGTTTTCCTTTCTTCTAAGTTCTGCTTTGTTTTAAAACCAGGTGGAAACAGGAAAAGAAGATTGCCTGGATTTTGGTGACTTGCCTTTTGGCAATTTGAAGGCTCTTCCCCTAAAACTTATCAACAAAACCCATGCCTTTATGCCAATTAGACTTATTATTAATGCAGTAAGTACAGTAAAGTTCTGTATGTGAGAGCTAACATCTTGTGATACTGGATTTTAGTACCCAAACACTTTGTTACAGATCATTAAGAAATAGATCTTATATCACTCTTATCTATATCATTCGATATAAGACTTCTCAAGAAGTCTTCTTTTAGTCAGGAAATAAATAGTTTTTGCAGGGTGGTAATTTGATTCTGCTGTAATGGTACCAACAAAAATGCATCTGAGATAGGTGTGTGGGGTTTTGTTTCATGTTTCAAAGTTACAGCCTAAATTTGTTTCTTTTTTTTTTTTTTCCAAGCTACTTGAATCGTTCAAAACTTGTCTTGCATTTCTCAGCTTTGTGAGCATTGCTGTTACTGACAATAAGAGATTTAATACTTGTAATGCTTCTCTTTTTGACAGAATGCAGTAGCCTGGAGGTGCTTCACCTTTTCCAAGGAACCTGTTAATACTTCTAATGAACAAATGGATGCAGTTTCTCAGACAGCAGCTCCATCAGTTGTAAACCATGTGATACATGCAAGCTATGATGGGCAAGTGAGTAGTTTATAGTTGGTCAATTCTTCTTTTTACTTGCTGTCTGAAGTGACAGTGCTGAATATTTGAGTTCACAGTAATGATTTTTGGGCAGCACACCTTTTGCATGTTCAGGTTTTGTGGGTGTTTTGTTTTCTCCTCTCAATAATTTTCTCCCTTCCATAAGGTGAGTCAACCAATTTCTTTTTCAGGATCCTGAAGCTTTAACAGTTTGGGTTCTGTTCCATGCACCTAAGAAACAAATTTCTTCTTCAGGTAAAATAATTGGATTTTCATTTCAGCTGAAACAGATTTGACTTTTAATGTATATGTTTTAGAATTGCAGGAACAGGCTGCAAACTTGAAACATGTTTGGTTTGTGTGTGCTAATATTTCAGGTATCATATTAATTTTTAGTAACTGTAGGAGACAGAATGTCTCTATGTCTTAATCCTTTATGTATTACCAGGGACATTTTTACTTTAGTATGAAGCTGTACAAAGTTTACTGCAAGATGCCTGGAATTTGTGTTAACTCTTTTTGCTGAGGGAATTAAACCATCACTTAAGAAAATATTGCATTAATTGCAAAATAGATAATAAATTTGAAGAAATCTCTGAGTTGTTCTGACTTGCTGAATAGAAAATACTATATATATCAACTAGTTTGGCTGGTGTGGTAGGATGAGTTTTTTTCTTTGCATTAGTGACAATTTCAGTTACATAGACAAAAAGGTAAAACTCTTAAATAAGGTTCTGTGAGACTTTATTTAAAAGAGGGGGAAAAAAGTGTTGCAGGAGTAATGGGAGAGCTGTTCTTCTCACCCCATGGATATGTTAAGATTGAAGAGTAGCTGAAGTGAGACATTCCATAGGAATGGCCTTTGCTGTTGGCACACTTGCGTTTGCTACTCATGAAATTGTTCCTAGATTCCTTGGGTCCAGCAGAGGAGTTCCTGGCAAGAGTGGATGTGGAAGTGGATAGTCCAGGACCTAGCACTGTGATTAAAAGTATTTTTCTCAGAGCAAGAGCTGGAACAGCAAGGATACGCATTCCAAAGGACTTAGAGGTTTGTGTGTATTTACAAACTGTATTTCAAGAACAGTTGCCCTCTCCTAGCCTCCTATTTTTGTAATGTTTGGTTTTATTATATATGTATATGTACAGATATACACTTACTTTATTTTTACAGAAAATACGTCTGTCTGCAAGTGTGTGTTCAACAGTCAAGCAGCAGCTGCCATTGGTAAATTCTGGAAACATTAGTGTACATTTGAAAGTTCAGGTAGGTTGGCTTTTCCCTCTTGAAATCATTATTTTTGTGCTGTTCATATTGTACTGAAGCTAGAGGTGAGCCTTGCGATTTTAGCTCAGCTCTGTGGTTTGATAAAAGCTTTACAAGTTTACATACAGGGAATGAAAAATGCCAAAGAGATTTTCTTGCTTTTTTAGAAAAAGCTTATGGGTGTTCTTTTGCTCAACTTCAGTTTTACTTGTTATAACAGACATACCTTTATGATTTTTAATAAATTTTAGCTAAAATATTTGTTATGTGAAAGTAGTGAAGCCTGTGCTGCATAGGAGGTGTTAGTTAGCTGGTAGAGTAAAGTCTGCTTAAGGCAAAGATGAATATTAGCATTGGGAAACATCTGTATTTTCTAACAAAACTGCAGTAGTTTTTAGTGTACATCTTGCCAACTTAAAGTGAATTCTTTTCAACTATGCCATATCTTTACTTGACCTTTTTGAGAATCTATGGAAAGTGTGGTTCCAGACTGAAAGATAACTAACCACATTTGAAATTTGCGTTTCAAAGTCAACAGAAGGAACAGTTGGTTCCATTTTACAAAAAGAGATGTGTTAGCCCATCATTTCTAAGATCAGAGGCCATGGAAATAGGATCTGCCACATTAAGTGATGATACTGGGTGCTAATTGATAGTGTTGAGGACGCCAGGTGTATTCAAATTGTCTGAATTGCATGTAAAACAGGTGCAGAACCAAATTGTATTACATTTTGTAGAAGTATTTAGTCCCTTAAAATAGGTAACTAACCCTCCCTTTTGCCCTTGCCTGCTTTCAGATATCAGATCAGGACAGCTGCTTTGCTGTTAAACCCGAGGATCTTTTCCTTTTTCCTGGAGAAGAACAAGTAGTGACTGTCCAGTTTTTTCCAAAAAGCACAACAACTACAGAAAGGTAATATAACTAATTCTGTGCTGCATATGTTAAACTGAACTACTTTTGACCTTAAGGTAATGAACAAATTGAAGGTTTCACCCATATGAGAGTTTTTGACTTCAGTTGTTCTCATGAGAGTTCTCATCCATTACAAAAGGATTTATGTTAAGGTTCACCTTTCTGTAGAATATCTGCCTCTTATAGGTATGTATAGCAGAATGAATAGATAACATTTCCTATCAAGAAATATTCTAAGACATGTTTAGTGTAAATAAACAGAGTAAATCCCGGTGGCCCTTTATCCAGTAGTTATTTCTAAAGTACAGCAAAGCTTCAAAATACTTACCTTCAGCAGCCCCTTCAGTTGCTTCCCTCTTTCTCTCTCTGCTGAGGCAAGGGAAATGTTATTTCTGTTTTACATGTGAAAAATGTCAAGAACAGATCAGGATCCTAAGTATTTATTTGTCTGCTGTACTCAAATAAAAGTTTGTTCTGTACAACACTAATGTACAAGTTCCTTTTGCAGATGGATGAAGCATTCGTAGTTTTGCTCATTAGCTCCTGTTGAACTTCATGCTGCAAAATAAACTTGATTGGTTCAAGTGACAATTAAGATGTCATGTGAGAGTTTTTGGCAATGACTCATTTCTCCAGAGCAGCTTTTCCTCTCTTGTTACATGACTTCCAGTTTCTGCAAGAATGGACAAAGGAGTATCATCAATATATGTTCCACTTCACTCTCCCCAGTGCGTTTAAGTAAAACAATGAAGTTCTGTGCTAGTGACAGTACGATCCTGTTAGATAGGTTGAATTTTTACAGGCTTGAGGTACTCAGGAGGATTGGAAACTTGGTAATCCTCATCCAAGTGCTGCCTAAAGACTACTAACCTAACTGAGGCAGTAACCAGGGTCCATGTTCCCTGCTGATGGGATTCAGGGCTTGGTCAGCAGGCATCATGGGGATTCACTGACAGCTACAATGGAGGTTCTTGAATTATTTTTTTTTACTTGAAATATCTCTGTGCTATAACAAATGATTCAGGCTATTATTTAAAAACTAGATTTCCTTTCTTGATGCTCCTGGTTATCTCACACCTGTAAAAATTCAATGAAGTTTCTCATGGCATTCAAAAGGCATCTCTTTAGTCTACAGCCAGACTTTGTTTCTTTCTAAAATTATTCTGTCAAAATAATTTGTATGGACAAAAAATACTTTTGAGCTGTAGTCTCTGAAATATTTATCTGAATCATTTCCAGATGGAATACTTTATAAGACTGTGTGAGGTACGTGGGACATGTGTACTTAGAGCTTACTTTAGGCCATACCTAAAGCTGGCCTTTGTCATAAAATAAAAAGAAGTGTTTATATTTTTGCCTTAAGAAGGTAGTTTTAAAAATGCCTATCTGTAATATTTTTTCAGTTATGTTTTGATTTCCCCAGCTAATCTTGTTCTGTTGTTGTTGGGAATTTAGCTGCTAGAGAATGGAAAATTACAAAGCTGTGGCTAATTCCAAGTCCTGCACCTGCAAGATAGCATGTCCTTGGGCCTAGCTGTAGTAGGATAACAAACAGTGAAAGAGACATGAGAAAAGAGAGATGTAACCCCTAAGGAATGAGGAAGAGTTCATAGTATAGTTTAACCAATAGATTGCTTGGCTTACAGAATATTCAGAAGATTATTATTTGCTGTATAAGTGTTTGATACTTTCTTCAATAAACTAGACCTGAAGGACCGGACCTGCTGAGCCTGTGATGAACCATATGGTGTCCTGGTCCCCTTCCTACGACATGTTGTGAGATTTAAATTTCTGCATTTATTTTTAAAGCATCTTGAAAATCCTTGTGCTGCCATCTGGGCCTCAGTTTGAAGTGATGATCAAAGGTGAGGTAGAATCTGGGCAAAACAGACCTGTGTCTACACCTGCTAGGTGCTCAGACATTCCACCCATCCTCTCCAACAAGCAGTTCATTGCCTGGGGAGCAGTATCACTTGGATCATCAGTGTAAGTATAAGTTGAACAGCTGTTCATATAGAATATCATGTTAAGCATTTTATGTTGCACTTCTTTGAAGTAAATTTTCTCATTCACATTGATAATTGGCAGTAATTTGTTCTGTGCCTCAAGTGAAAGAAGCAGTATATTGCAATTATTTTTCTTGTGCAAGAAAGTTTTAGAAACAAACTGATCTTGTTTGAGCTTTGTGGACTTGAGGACTCTTTAGTTATGATTAGAATATCTGGTTTTGTAAGTTTAGTGTGTCACCTAAGTAGAAATGAGGAGAAAAGTATTTTTTAATTAAGTTGATAGAAAAATTCTGTTGGTTCTTTTGATACCTATCTCTTGCTAGAGATTAATTATTCTTCATCTCATCCATGACAAGGAACAGAATCCAGTCTGGGTAATGTAATTTGACCATCTGAATAGCATAAACTGTTGAACATCCCTTGATTGATTTTAATGTGTTTCAGGGTTAAAACTTCTAATGTGGAGAAACTGTTTTGCCCCTAATTATGAATTATTTTGTCCTTCAGACTACTTCTTGTCCACACTTATTTAGTTTCAAGTTTACAGGTTTATTATTCTATGCTTTAGTGAAACTGTTCCTAATTGTTAGGATGTTCTTTGCTTCTTTTATGGGTAAAGTCTGCAAGTTTTGCAAATCTCTGAACTTCTAGTAATTATTACTTGAAGGACTAATCCACTGTTGGTTGATACTGAACTTTTTGATTCTAATGATCTAATCATGTTCCTGGTGGTTTAAAATCAATGTTTGTATCCAATAACTGTTTCTAATAGCTGCATTTCTGTTTTTCTGGTTTGTTAAGGTGTAGTGTGTTTCTAACACTAGTTTTGGTTATTTGGTGTTTAGGAATTACAGCTTCTTTCCTGTATGCTGCAATGTTTTTATTTTCTGTTCCTCCTGTAAAACGGTGTTGAGGAACCCTTGGTTTTAGGAAGCTGAAATTATTTCTGTAATTTTGTTTCAACAGAATACAAAAGATTGTCTGCCAGTGTTGATAGAGAGAGGTTTTGCTCTCTCTGTCCTCCTCTTTAATTCCAACTGCACGATCTGTTCTCTTATGTTGTAGCAGTTCCGAGTTTGTCAAATTGAATTTGTCAATGTTTTTTGACTTGTTAAAATGACAAAGGCACTTGTTCTTGCTGGAGATGTTTTCTACCTCTGCTGAGGAAAGCTCTGAGTACCAGAAGCCTGGTCACTGCTAGGATGTATCGCAGAGAAAAAAACTGTTTCAATCAACCTGATTCTGTTAAGTGACTGTAACTTTCTGTGTTGCTATTACATTGAGAAGTGCATGAGAAGGAAAAGTTATCCTGAATTTAGTTCTTTACAACTGTTCCTGTGAATCTGGGCCAGACTACTCACGAGACTTTATTTCTGCATAACCAAGTCTCTCTGATAAACTCATCATATCTGTGTCCTGAAGTGGGGATTTTTATGGAGTTTTTGTTTTGATACAATTGCTGGTTTCTTTGGAAGTTCAAGCTGTTAAGTACAGTACTTGAACTTCAGAAAAATATATATTTTTTAATATATATGTATATTTGGGGATTGTTTTGCTATGAGTATTTTATGAGTGTGTTTTGGTGTATAACAGTGTAGGATGTGTAAGTTTGATAATACAGAAATAACTTTTTATTTAACATATTCTGTTGCTCCAAGAGGTGATTTTTTTCCATTAAATTACTTCAAAATTGACTGTCCCAGTTCCATTGTTTCCATGAATTAATATATGCAGTTAATTAGTATTTGCTGTAAAATCTAACCAAACATATTTTTCAGACAGAAGAAGTTAATTCTAAGAAATGACTCTCCATCTGTGCCACAGCATTTAAGATTGTTGATAAGAGGCCAGGATCAAGACTCCTTTCAGGTGCCTGCCATTAAAATTTCTCTTTAGTGTTTATGACAGTTACCAGGCTCTGTTTATAATGAAAATGTTTTTGCCCTGAAGTGTTAGCAGCCTGTATTTGTTTTGAGACTGCCAAGATGAGTGTGGTAGCAGAACTTAAGCTACCCTGGTATTCTTGGGAGCCGCTGAAATGGGAGTGCTGCAGCAAACTGGAGCTCAGTTTACAGCTCTCTAAGCTGCTGTTTCACAGCAGAGTCAGTACTTGGTGGAGTGGTCCATCAATGGCTTTTCTTGCAGGAGGGAGTCTGGATGAGGATAGAAAAACTGGAATTAGTCTTTAGGAATTACCATGGCTAATGGGTCTTTTTGTTATGTAACCTACATTGATTTATATCTCATTTTCCCTCAAATGTTCAGATTTTTTAAATTTAAAATGTTATACTGACAGAGAATTAATGTACTCATGGTAAAGCTCAGCCTTGACTGGTTGGGGATTGAGGACAAAAAAATCTGTCTAAACTGAGAGGCATCGAAGTGTTCATTATGGGACTATAAAGTACCTTGGACTTTGTAATTTGATTGCATATTAAGCATTGCAACTTTAAATATGCCATTGTCTGAGAAGTTAATGTGCAGTTCAAAGAAGTTAATTCTTCCATCCAAATGTAGTAAGTTTTACTGCTATGTTATTTTTTCTATTATAGTCACTCAGTTTTGATGTCTTTGTTTTTATAGCTGCAAAATATATTTGGATCAGAACAACGCTTAACCAGTAGCTGGGAGCTCAGAATGCGTCCCAAAGAAGATACAAACATATACCTGATGTTTACACCCACTCGAGTAACTTGCTGCTTTGCAAAGCTGGAAATCAAACAGCTGGGGATTCAATCAAAGCCAGGAATTAAGTTTACTGTAAGAGTCCCAACATAACTTTTAAAAATTTTAAATGTACTTTTTTTGGATAATTATTGAAAATCTAACATTGAATAGGTGTTTCTGTCAAAAACCTGAAAATTCAAGATACATATTATGGACATCTGTATACTTGTTAAAGTCATATGGCCACTACATTTTATGCTTTGAACATGAGTATCGATTTTGCATGTAATTCTTTCCTTTGAGAATGATGAAATATTTTATGTACTACATTAAAAGTAGCCTAAGAATTTAACTCTAGAAGCGTTAAAAAATCTGAACTTGTCTTGTTCTATAGGTAGGGCTTAAACAAACTTGGAAGTAGAACTTGAAAATGATTGAGTAAATTTAAGCTTTTCTATTTCTTGCAAGGGCTTTTCAGTTCACATTTTTAACATTTTCATTTGTTTTTCTGTAAGTCTATATAGTTTACCATAGTTGTACATAAATGTGTTTTGCTAGTAAGCGTTTTTCATTTGAAGTACGTCTTTTTTTATGGTGGGTTTTGTTTCTCTCCCAGATACCATTATCTGGATATGGAGGAACAAGCAATATAATTTTAGAAAATGTTAAAAAATTGTCAGATAGCTTCTTGGTTACACTGGAATGCTCGTTGTCTGCAAGATCACAGAAAGCTTCCTTCCACGTGAGAAACATAGGTTCCCGAGCTGCCTATGTTAAGGTGCTGTGCTTGGGAAACCTGCACACAAAAACAAAGATAGATCCTCAGGTTATGAGAGTGTCTCCAGAGCAGTTTGTACTAAGAGAAGGAACACATGAAGTAAGTACAGTGCTTTGTTCTGAGCAAATTTTATTAATTTAAATTAAATGTCATCATTGAAAATGTCTGACTAATTCTTTATTAAAATCTCGCCTGGTTTTTGTTATGTCCTGTTTCACTTTTATTGTAGTAATCTGTTGACTCATAGTCCAAACATTAATGCAAACATTAAGATTTTTTTTCCCTCTGTGTGTTGTCTATTCATTTTATCAGGTGGTCACTGTAACATGGAATCCAATGGAAAAGAACTTCTCTCCAAGCATGGTGGTATCAACACTATGTCTCTTTTGGGGAGATGAAGTTTCTAGGCAGCAGTATCGCAGGTGAGATGTGCTTTGCTGTTGGAACAGACAGATGTTTAATAAGAAGTTAAAGCTAGGGGTATGTGCTGCCACAAGTATTATTTTAACGTGTTTCCAAAAAGAGCAAGAACAAGCTAAAATATGATGATATGTAGTGATCTGTTAAAAGCCTTGCTCATATAAGTTGTTGATGGGGTTTTGTTCATTTATGGCTTTGCTTACTGTAGCTAGAATCCTAGTTAAGGGTTTTATTCTGTTTTAACTTAAATTCAAGTGTATTGGGTTATGGAGAAATGTTTTCATTTATGTATTGAAAGAGATCTGTGTTATGTCTTTGTATTTCTCTTTCTAATGTGTATGTAACTTTAAAGAAAAGGCTCATGAAAAGAATAGTGCTGAAATCCAGGGGTATTCAGTTTCAAGCAAAGTTCATGTCTTGGTTTGCTGAATTCTGTTGACAAAGAATGTGTTTGAGTAGGTGTATATATGAGAAAAATAACATGCACATATGCTCATGGAAACTTGTGGAGAATACCTTGCTGATCTTAAATAGTGGTCATGTTATTCTGCATTTCAGTTTGTCTAACTCAAACACACAGAAGTGGCATATTCTGCCTTCAGTGACAGAAGCTGCACTTGGGACTTGTGGTGTCCATGGGGTTCAGTGTAATGCAGAATGTTCAGACTAGGTAGAGCAGTAAGGTGCTGATAATCATAATTCAGTGCAAAACTTCAAAACAGCATTATTTCATTATTGATTTTAAATGCTATTGCCTGACAGTGTATGATAGTCATTGTGTATATCCTTATCCAAACGAAGTGTTAAACGCGTCTGGATTTAACTGCATGGCTTTGAATAAAAAGCCCATGGAATAGCTGAGTTCCTGACCTTGATAGGAAACTGGCTTATTTTAGATATCTTAGAGGATGCTTTTTCCTGTTTTTTTTGTATGAATTGTTTTGTGTGAGGCAATGCTGTCTATCTTGGAATCCTCCTTAAAAGGGATAAAGTACTTAGGGAACACTTTTGGTCTACAGATCAAAAGAAAACCCATGCAGGGAATGCTTTTAGTCTACAGATCAACAGAAAACCCATGTAGAAGCTCAATACAACTACATAAGTATTATTGGAAACTTAATTTTTTAAATTCAGATTGTGGATATTATGTATGCAAAATGACTTGTTGATTTTATTAGTCAGCAGGCTGATATATTGTTCTTGAAAGTAGTGGTCTAGCTGGTTGTTTCTTGATGGGAGTTTTTCTAAAATCTCCCTTGATAACTTGAAAGAGATGTTTATGTCTTGCAATGACTGAGTTCTCCAAGCCAGTCCAACCCCATTCTGTAATTATGCACTAGAATGAGAGTGTGATTTGGGACTTAGGGGCAAGAATGTGAGATGAGTACTCTGCCTCATCTGCCAGCTTGTGCCCCAAGTTCCTTACTCCAAAATTATATATAGTCAGCAGCTCAGTAAGTAGCTTAGACCTGAGAGTTAGTAGTGCTCAGGTATTCTTTCCTCTCCATGGCCCTTACCTTATCTGAGTGCCACATTTCCTCTTGCTGACCTGTATCTTCCCATTTTTCCCAGGACTATTTATATTCCTGTGCCTCCCAGTCTTTTCTATGCTGTTGGCAGTCATGCTGTTGGCTGTGTTCCTGCTGTTGGCTGGCACCTGCTGCCACTGACACTGACTAGTCAATTTTTCCTCTCAAAAAACTTTCACTTGTAACCAAAATAGCATTCTCCTGCTTCCTGTGGTGATTGAAACATCGCTCAGATGCCTGAAGTACTTATCAAAAAGCTAGGTAGGTGTGACTGACAGCAGAGAACAAGTATGGAAAGACAAACATATGATAACCATTATTTCAGTGTTTCCTTTTACTCTGCAGCAATAGAGCAGGTATTTCTTTAACCCTTTTAAGACTGTGAAAAGACTTCAGTTTTAAATGGATGCTCCCAGATTTGAGCTTGGTGTAGTCAAGAAATGATGAAGTGAAAATTGTAGTGGATTCCTACGATTCATATCAATCTTTGCAATTTGTTGTTTCTAGTACTTTGTTTAATTTAATGACTTCTGTTTACCTCTAACAGAGCTGTGATGTATAAAGCTGAGGTGGAAAAACGCATCATCCCAGAAAATAACTTAGTGAGAAATGCTGTATTTGATGAAGAATTTCCAGGGGAGCAGCTTGTGACAGAAGGTAAGACTATGACTTGTTAAAAGAAAAATATAGTACTTGTTTTCATGTGGCAAATGTGCTTTTGGCTTGAATCCTTGTTACTTTTTCACTATTTTTTTTAATAAATGTAGAAGAAAAATTCTGAATTTGGACAGTTGTACTGGGCAAAACTTTATTGTATTTTCTTTCCCCAGTCCAGCTGAGGAGGAGTGTGATAGAATGGCTTTGGTGGGCACCTGGCATCCAGCCAGGGTCGACCCATCACAACAGAATGTGCCTTTTTTCATTCAGTATCTATTTATTTGAATGATTTTCTGTAATTTTCTCCTAGGAACATGAATCCCCAGTCTGTAAATATTGTAGCATTAAAATGCTGAATTTCTTTGGAAAGTGTTTGCCTTATTAACTATTGGGAAAGATTCAGTTTGTTGTACACAGATACATTTGAAAATTGAGAGGCAGGCAACTTGGCTGACACCAAAATATATATTTTTCTTCCTAAATAGCATTTTCTTCCGCTTGTTAGTAAGAAATGCCTTAATAAGAATACAGTGTATTGTAAAGGGTTCCTTAAAGCACCCCCCAAGTGTTCAGTCCCACAAGTGTCGTGAATAAATTTGCTGTCAAACCCTATTCTTGAGTTAGTTATATTCACATATGGAATTACTTACTGTCCTAAGGCTACTACAGCTGAATAAATATGGTCTGTTTCTTTCCCTGAATTATGTATTGTCTTTACTTGGAAAAGTAAAGATTTTTTTTTATCATTCATCTTAGTTGAGGTGAAATCCTGGTGAATGTCAGATACTTGGGTTCTGGAGTATCCTTTGAAATTGTTAAGCCAGTGTTGCAGAAAAAAGTAAAAGCTAACTCTTAATTTGGCATAGAATCAAATTAGTATATAGCATTTGTGTAAAGGTGAAAATTATATTATAATATTTTTATATTTTTTAATATGTCTTATTTATTATGTCTTATAATAAAAAGTATTAAATTGGTGTGTATTCAGATTTCTATATTGTATTTGATGTTAGTGTTGAGCTACACTTGATAGCTAAGCTTGCAGGAATTAGTTTTGGAATGATCTAGGATTTCTTAACTGATGGATTATTACCTGAGTCTATGTCTTAAATCTCTCTGGTGTAATGTCTGAGTATTACTGAGTTGTTCTTACTAGAATTTCTCTATTACTCTCATTTTTAGTATGTGATGTCCCACGAGAGACAAATGATATCCATCTTTTCTATGCAAATATGCAAAGGATTCTCCTTTCTGTAGTCGGATATTCCACTTGTGATCAGGATGGCTTTCAGCAGTCTACTGCACCCCAATTGGAATTAGACAGGTATTGGAATCATAATTAGTAATTATATGTATGTAACTATTTTTTTTTTTTCTTGTGAGAGTGATTAGGCATTGGAGCAGGTTGCCCAGAGTGGCTGGGAAGTTTTCATCTCTGAAGAAATTAAAAACCTGGTAGGGCAATACCCTGAATTACCTGCTGTAGCTGCCCCTCCTTTGTGCAGGGCTGTTGGATTGGGTGATCTCCACAGGTCCCTCCTGATCTCCACAATGTGTTGCACAGCATGCTGTTGCCTTATTTCTCTATGCAGTACTTGTTTTCTCTGTATATGTTTTCAAATTATTTTATATTATTATCTTCTGAAGATAACTTTTTATTTTAATTCCTTTTATTCTAAATGGTACCTTCCACTTCCAAACATTCTGTGAAAAAGCTGTGTCCTGGTATAGCTGCTGGATTGTTTTATACTTAATGGAGAATTGAATTAAATTGAGGGCCCATGTAAAAAGTATTGTACTTTTGTAGTAAAATTTTGAGAAATACTAAAAGTAGGCCGTTATAATTACTCATGAGATATTTTTTTACTGCTTTTGCCTAATGCAGTCTTATTTTCAGGTTGGAGAACTTTGTCACACATACTGCTGCAACTTTGGACGTTCTTCCTGTTAAAGGACCTCAGGGTACTTCTTTATCTGCAAAAACTAATGATCGAGCTCAGAATAAATCAGATGCTGAAGAGACTTGGGCTGTTACACCTGAGTATTTGATTTTGACATCTCCTACTCTTGGTAAGTATTTTTTGAAGTTAATGAAATAGCCACTTAAGTATTAAGATAACTATACTGCATAAGATGTTTTTAAGTGTGGATTGGCCAGTAATCTTTATACAGACTTGATTTGAGCACAGTTTTGGATAAATCATCAGAGGTTATGTGCTCTGTGTATACATAGACAATGCACTGCATACCCATGGAGGTTTTAAAGTAATGTGAAGGTAAAATTAGGACAGAAAATGCTTTGTTTTCATTGCTGCATGTCTTTATCTTGGGCATTTTTGTGAATTTTTGTATGATGTTAGCTTTTTTTTGTGTTACAGGTGAAACATCAGATACTAGACGTGTACAAATTCTCAACAATTCCAATCGAATGTTGGCATTTGAACTTTCATGGCCAGCTCACTGCCTTACTGTAACCCCACAACATGGAGATGTTGAACCAGGGTAAGTATATTTCCATAAGTTCCTTTATGTGTGAAAGTGTGGTGAGATTTTGGAGGAATTTATTTTTAGCCTAACTGTATAACTAGTTTAGGAATTTTAGTTGGTTTTTAGGAATTTATTTTAGTTTGCTTAGACTGCACCCTGAAACTATTTTAGCTCCAGGGTATAGACTTTTTGTCAACGAACATGCAAATCTAGCTTTTTTAGGACCTTATCCTTTTACAGTTGTGTATTGTGGGAATGTTCTTTTGTCATAAGTAAAATTACCTCGATTCCAGGAGTTTTCTGTGCCTGGAAGTTCTATTATTATTGCATAGTTCAAGGAGTTGAATGGTCAGTGAAGCTGAAGCTTTAAAAATCTGTTTTCACTGTAGTTTTTTGTTTAAAATTTAGCTGTGCATTTAAAAACAAAAAACTCTTCCTCCCTTCCCACAACCAAGAAACAGCCCCCAAAATAACAATTCTTACAGAAGGCTTCTCTTCTTGGGACTTAGCATTTCTTTAGCAAATGTGCTGATATTCCTCACAACTTGATTTTGGGATTCTTTTCATTTGGAGAAAACTTGGTTTTGCCATTCAACCTTTGGCTTCTCAGTATCTGTAGGTATGAAAATAATGACAAGCCAGTGTCAGCTTGCCCATGCCTTAATTAGGGTGTTCTTGGAAAAATAATCATAATATCATTGTATATGGATATAAGACTTTTCACATATGGCAGCAAAGACTTCCACAACTTATGCTTGAAAGATCTGCTCACCTCTCCCTTCTAAATTTCTGGTACTTTTAAGGTTCAGTTAAGACAGCTTTAAGAACCTGTTATTAAACTATTCTCATCTTCCAAAAAGTCTTCCACCAAAAAATAGGTTTTGCTTTCAGAATTATATTTCAGTAGTTGCTTTAACTTTGAAGTTGTTTACCCAAAATACTTTCTCTTCAATCCTGCTTGGCTGATTGCATTTTAAACACTTAATTTCATATTCATGTAGATGTAAATTTCTGGGAAACTTTCATCACTGGTGAGAACAGAATAGAGTTCCATGGAAGGGCTAGGATATCTGCTACTCATTGCAAATTCAGTCAATGCCAAGAAGAATAATCTGAAAGAGCAGTAACAATGAATGACTTTCTAGTAGCTGTGAAAGCAAGGACATACTGAGTGTCTCATACCCCAAATTCAAGATTCTCTGGATGTTTTTTACAAAGAGGGTATTGAAGGCCTTCTGCAAGCCATTTTCTTGCAGTGTAGAATTTTAAAATGTGTTCACTGGAAAAGAGTGAGCAGAATCCTCACATTTTGGGTCCAAGTAAATAGTGTGGATCAAGAGCAGAGGTCTGCAAGTAGGAAGCAGACCCGTGGGAACAGCTGACTTAAGCACGGCAAGCTGCACTTGCCCAGTTCTTTATTTTTCATGACCATCTCGTCGCAGTGCCAAGGACAGTCAACCTGTCACAATAGGAGCCAGCCAGAATATTTTATACTCTGCACTGTGGGGGCTGGAGCCTGCAGAATTCTTGAACTGAGTTAGGCCATGAAAAGAGGTGATCTGATTTTTCAGTGATGGTGAAAGAAGATCCTGGGATCATGGCTTTTAAAGCTTAATTTATGGCATATCTGAGCACCTGAGATTTAACTATCTGTAGAGCCTCTTCACTTATCTGCTATCTTAAAAGTGCATCCTTTTTTTGGGTGGGCTAGTGACAAATGTTGTAGATGCTGATTCTAGTATGAGAGTCATGCTAGTTGATTTTTTTTAAATTTTTTTTTTTTTTTTAGGGCCAGTACACTAATTCTGGTGAGTCCTAATCCATCACTTGCCACAAGGCCCATATTAATTCCTTGGAGTGGCCTAATCTATATCCATTGTGATAATGGACTAAAGGTATGTGGTTTACTTGAGACTTCAGATTGGAACTTTTTATTTTACTTTGTCAGTTTTAATAAAGTTGCTAAAACCTTGTAGATTTGAATCAGAAGCTCTGTCAACTTCCATTATTCTTTTTAATTTGTGAAGTTCTCATAAAGAAAAGTAGTCAAGATGCTATTTTGTAAACTGATTTTTGGTTCGTAATCTCTAAAGAAATGCCATGATGTAGACACTAACTAAATTTCCAACAAAAGTGAACCCACCACTGCCTTATGCATAATTTTATAAAACACTATATATATATATATATATATATATATATATATATACACACATATGTATGTAGATGTGCACACATAAAAGTAGTTTGTATCATATTGTAAAATAAAAGAAGTTAAAAGAGGGTATTGGACAAGTCGCCATAGCTCCTTTTGAGCTCCCTTAGGGTAATCTTGACCTTCTGGATGACAGGTCAGGGATAAAGAATGTCTAGAACAGGTTCTGCCTCTTCGCAGATCTTAATCCAAGACATTTCCCTGATAAAATTGGGGCATAGAAATAAAGTTTATGAAGCCAACAGTTTTTCTTTTTTCTATGTAAGAGCAGAAGGACTCCTTGGTAATCTCTCCTAAAGAAAGAGACTTTTGTTTCTTATTTTTACAGTTAGTGTATGTTTTGAGTTATTTGTAACAATGCTTGGAGAGAGAAATAGACACTGAAAGGATAAAACTGTATCTACTTTCCTTTTGCATGGAGGGAAGTGTGAGGTATGATACAGAATTGGAAACTGCTTTCAAAAAACCCAAATAAACAGGGAAGTTGTTGAGAAGGAGATGATAACTGCACGTAGTTAACTGTGTTGTGTTCTACAATATGAGAAAAGGATTTAAGAAATCTACTAGGACAAGTGTAGATAATGTAGCATAACCCATCAAATTATAGGAAATCCTGTAGTTAATAATGCTTTTGTCATTTATTTGCTACCTCTCCAAATTAGCAAAAAATATGCTAAGATTTTACTGGCATTAATTGAAACTTGTAAAATTTCTAATGATGTAGCAAAAAGGAACACAAATCTCCTCCTGAATGAGGCAGCTCTGTTTTCATTATCTGCAACAGAGAACATTGTAGGAATTGTCAGTTAAACTAGTTGAAATTATTATTCCTATTGAGTTAAATTGCTTAGATAGCAAATTTTCAGTGAATGTTTCTTTTTTCCTAAATTAAACTTGTCCTAGAATCTTTAAACTTGGAGATTGGAGAACATCTGGTGATGTAATGTATGAGAGCTTTCCTTTGTTGAAATGTAAAGCTGAACATAAGCTCTTGTGTGTAAACTAAATGGTTTGATTTATTGATCTATCAATATTGACTGTTTAAAACTTTGCTTTTCTCCAAATTGTGCAATAGTTTATTAAAGTGCTTATTCAAGAGGCTGGCACACAGACCGTGTCTGGATCAGACTTTCCATGTAGAAGATGTGACATAATTACTCCACAGCCTGAAAATGCCACTGTTGATGTGCCAAAGCTTCTCCCCAGGTTCCCTCTAACAGAAATGCACATAAGGAACAGAAACATTGCTTTTCCTAAAACAAGACCTGGTCAAAGCTCAGGTAAGAGGAATTAGTTATTAAATATAGCATCTGTAATACCTTGTGTTCAGAGGCTTTGTGTACTATATTGCATGTTTGGGAATTTTTGTGCTTTAGTTTTGTTCTCTGAGTCTAATAAGTGAGAATGACCAGTTCTCCACTTCTGCCTTTAGTTTGAAATGCTTTTTGGGTTTTTTGGGTTGTGTTTTGGCTTTTTGGGAGTTTTGAAGGTTTTTTGTTGTTGTTGGGTTGGGTTTGTTTTTTGGTTTTGTTTTGAGGGTTTTGTTTGTTAGTTATTGTTGTTTTTGGTTTGGGTTTTGTTTGTTGTTGTGTTGTTGTCGTGTTTTTTGGTGGGTTTTTTTTTCCCAATTCTCCTTATACAGCATAGTCACACCTTTTTTTCCACAGTTAGGTTTGTGTACAGGCAAATCAGTTGCCTCTATGATGAATGCAGCTATGCTGTGCCTGGTAAAAGAGACTGTTAGAAGTCCGCTTGAAACTCTTCTGGCTCAAGGCACCTTTGCAGTAGATCCCTTCTCATCTGCACTTATGCCCATAAAGAGATGAGACCAATCTGTCTGGGTTTAGCAGGGAAATAAATGCTCTTCCTGAAGACAATAGGAGTGTCAGCTGTTGTGAGGCTGGCTGTCCTTGTCTTGGTACATAGTGATTGAGGAGGACAGGGTCAATAATGGAGTCTGAAATGCTTGGACTGTACTTTTAGTTCCAGTAATGCTTAAAATTCTCAAAGTAACTCTATGGAACTCTCATTCTGTTATCAATAGACCAGGTTTTTTTGTAGTACATACTTTTTTAGGCAATGAAGGTTTTTTTAATGATTCATTGCCACTATTTTTTTTCCAGCAGACTTGAGGACTTTCAAGACTTAATTTATCAATAATATCTTGGGATTTTTTGCTAAAATTATGAAAGTATTGTAATAATAATACTTTGGTGTTTATATATTTCCTATATCATTTATGTCTGCAGCTTAAACTTTTTAAAGTGCTGTTGTAGACTGAGATGATCTTCTAATAATTTCTTGCCAAGAGACATATTTATATGCATGCTGAGTAACAAAACACATTATTTGGTACAAGTTTATTTGGTCCCAGACTGGGATATTGTGTTTTGTCTCTGAATGATCAAATAATATCTTGGGAAGGAGTTGGATATCTTTTGGGGATTTTTTTGGTGGAGTCTAAATTTCTTGTGTATAAGCTTCTACAAATTTTATGGCAGTGTGCTTTGTTTGAGTCTGCTCTTGAGATTTGTTATAATGAAAACTGTTTCCACTAAACTTGTGTTCATCTAGAGACACAGTTCCTGCTTAACTCTTTACACCAGGGATACTTGAACACAGATATTTTGTATGCTGGTCTGATATTTCTCTTTTAGAGAATTACCTGGAAATGGAGAATAAAGGGAACGAAAATCTGAAGTGGAAAATATCATCTTTTGCACCGCCCTATATTAAAGTGAGTGAATGCTTGCATTGGGACTTTTATGCCAATGTCTGGGTTTTATTTTAACTTTTCTCTTCCTGCTGTGCTCTCTCTCTCCCTGCTGCCTCTCAAGGAAGAATATATATTTGAGCATGACCTCAGTTACAAAGGTTTTTTTCCTCTGTTCATATCAGGGAAATGTTTTGCTCCTTTTTTTCATCCCTGATGTGTTCCCTGACTATGAATCAATCAGTGCTCTGTGGTACAGTTTTTGCTTCACTTACTGCGTTACAGAGTTTGCTTGTGCTCATACAGTGTCATCATCCAGATTTCATTAAGTGATCAAGCATAAATGAAAGATAGGTGTGTCTTTTTGGCTGCAGAATGCCAGACTTCTGCTGCTGAAATTGCACTGTACGTGGTGTCTCTGTAGAAATTTGAGTTAGGTCAAGGATATTTTAATTACAGTGCTGTTGCCTGTGCCTAGCTGTTGATGTTTGTAAATGCTTCCCTATTTTTTGGCAGTCTGAAATGCTGTGATGATTTTGGATTTTATGCTTGAATTATTATGTTCTATTGTTGTGAAACTGTGAAAAATGGTTATTACACTTAGCAGTACCCATGGGTACTTTGTCATGTTCCAGCCAGTGCACCACCTCTGAACTGTAAGTCAGTAGTAGTGGTGACTAGATTTAGTAGTTTCAGTCTCTATTAATTTGCTTTTAGGGAATCAGTTTTAATTCTTTACTTAAAAGTACTTTAATTGAGTGTATTTTCTTCAGTCTTCTGCAAGGGGGGTGTGTGTGTGGGTGTATTGTGTGGTTTCAGGCTATTTTTTTCCTTTCCCTTCAAATCTGACTCACAAATTGATTTGCAGGGTGTGGATGGAAGTGGCACTGTTTATAGGGTTCCTTACTCTGCTTTTGGATTTTCCCATGTTTCTGGTACCCTTGAAGTTCATGAACAAGAGAAGGTAAACACTTATAAATATTTCTGGCATATTAGTGTATCTCAATTGCAAAATAAGATCTTAAATGAGAAATAAATTTTATTTGATAATGATAAAATGTTGGCCTTTCAGTACTGGGCTCTGGAGTGTGTCAGATATTCTGCATCAGCCTAATTCAGCAGAGTTAATTCTAAGAATTCACGCAATCAAAGTAGTTTGATTTCAAAGTGGTGGTGTGTTTATGTTACTCTTTGGGGGTTTTTAAGGACAAATTATTTCAGAAGAGAAAATTATTTTAAATGTTTTGTAAAATTCCAGAAGAAAATGGCAAATAATCCTGGGTTCTTACAAAACTTGTGTAAGCACCTGATTCCCTTCCTTGAAGCATTCTTGCTATACTTCTTCAGGGACAGCTGTCTGCTCCTGAAGTTGGTTTCATTTGACTTGCAATTTTATCTCCTGGCCAGTAGAGGGTTTCATAACCATAATTATAAAGCACATCCACAGATAGACTGAATGGATTTATAAGGGTCCTTTGCTCCCTTATCTTCTCTCATAATGCTACTTGAGTTCTATCTTTTCATCTTCCTTAAAACCTCTCTTCTCATTGTTATGGATAATTATTTCCATAGAGATGCAATTTGTAATCTATTTACAAGAATAAAAAACCCATTCCTGACCAGTTTCATAGTAATTTCATAATATTGCAAGCCATTATTTGAATTTAAACAATTGTATTTGCCTTAGCAATCCTTGTTCAGGCCTATTTGAATAACATTTACATCATTGCCATGCCAGGCTGTGGGCTGGAGCAGTGAAGGTACAGTGCTATCATGACTGTCTGGGGTTTTTTTGCAGTGGTTGGCTAATGAGATATAGTTGTAGTGATCTATTCTAATCTGCTGCTCTCTTTCTCTTCTTCCCTCAACCTCAGTTCTGAAAGTTTATTCCTGAATTAACCTGGTACAGCACTATATGGAGACAAGCCATTGTTACATAGGTGACATTTAAGGATGATCAAATTCATAGGTTGCAAGTTGGTTTAAATTTTAGGCTTTCTAATAATTGTAGTGCAGGAATTTCAGTTTTGGAGCTGGAGGAGTTGAGTTGTTCACAACTTAGTTGCCAGATGAAGGTAGTTTTTTCAGGTGCACATATTTCCCTTCCTGGTCCCCTTTCTCTCCATTTTACTAACAGAAGTAATTGTGCCAGCACTTGCTGGCTTTGCTTAAAGCAGATTATCTGAACTCAAGTTTTGTTGAAAACTGCTTGCACAACATATTTCATCCATTTTTTTCCACTTGCGGGCAGAGGAGGATTAGCTAGTTGCATAGTTTCCTGCAAGATCACCTGTGTGTGTCGTGTGTGTTCTGTAGTGTGTAAATTTTGTGCTGGCTGAACCATAACTTTGTACAGGTTAAATTGTGAAGATCCTGAACCTGAAGATTATTAGTGTTCTGCAAAATTTTTTTTTCTTTTTTTTTTTTTTTTTTTTTTTTTTTTTTTAGGTTGCTGTAATTTTTTCACCTAGAGATACAGGAGATTACTCCCAGTTCTGGGACCTTGAGTATTACTCAGTTGGAAATCCAAGCAGGAAATACAAATTAAAATTTCAGCTTTCTGGAAATGTGAGTATATAAAACCTATAAACACTGTTTGAGCTCAAATTTTTGATAACATCTTGATTTTACTATACACTTCTCTTTCATGTATACATTGGTATATTCTGGGAAAACTCAACCCTGCTAGTATTTTTGCTGGATTAAATTGTATTTTTTTCCTTATGTTCCTTTTCCTTATGTGATAATGCATTATCTTTTGCCATTTATGGTATAAAACTATTTGTTATTTAAAGAGACTAGAGACAAATTTACATTCTATGGGAATTGTTTCTGTAGACAAAGGTATTTCTGTCAGTTTTGTTTGTTAATTTGCTTGCTGGTTTTATTTTTGTAAATAAGTAGTTGACTAACTGACCTTTGCTGTAATACATAACTCAATGTAGTTTTGGAATTTTCAAATATCCATCTTGCAAATGGGTATTTGTGTCTCTAATAAAACCTGCTTCAGTATTTTCTCAGAGTGACAATGTAGGTGGGGATAATTGTGAAATTTATACATGGCAGCAACTGGGTTTGAGCTTCCCTTTGCTCCACTTTTGTTCCTCAGCTCAAACTTCATAGTAAGGCTTGGAAGAAGTGGGTTGGGAGTTGCAACTGTTTTTTTGTGCTCTCTCTCCTTACCTTGCTTTTTATCCCATCTATACAAGAGGAATTTACCTAGGACAGAGGATTTATTACCATAAGGAAGAATTAATTATAATGGTTAAATAAGTTAAATAAGCTGAATGTGAAGAGCTTTCTACATTCAGTATGGCATGATTGCTGTCTGTGCTTTGCCGTCCTCTTTAGAAGGTTTGACTTGATTTTTCTAAGAAGTCCACTCCAAGATTTGGGATCTTTCTTTAGGGTATTAAGCATGCTTCAGTAGTAAGAACCTTACTTATCCTTCTTACATTTGTTTTGTAGGTTCCTTGTTCTTTCCAAATTAATTGTGTTGAAATCGTACTTGTAAACAGGTTTAATATTAAATAACTTCTGATTATTTTTTTTTCTGTATAATGTTTGGTTTTAGAGGGTTTTTATGTAACTTTCATCAAATTCTTTGGTCACAATTTTCCTGAAAATTAGGAAAATGTCTAAATCATTTGTCTTTTTAAAGCTAGTTGAAGTGTGGAGAAGATTAATTGTTTACCAGAACTCTAGAGTTTTAAGGAAGTCTCTTCTTAAAACGTGACTAGTTGTCAGAGTTGTGTAAATCTTTGAGCTGCATGACTTGATATTAATGTTTTCAAACTACTACTGTGTCAGATTTGTTCTTGATTTTTTTCAGAGCTGTTAACAATTAGATCTTGATAGCATCTCTGCACATGGGAGAAAAGTTAGTAGAAAATACTTGAAATGCATGTCACGATCATTTTCAGAAAGATTTGAAAAGGAAGTACTGTATTTATCAACTAGGTAGGGAACATCTGTTCAGAAGAGGGATCAGCACAGAACATTTAGAGTGTTGCAGCTTTTAGTTGAGAAGACAAGACAAGTGAATCATAATCTGTTATCTTCTTGGGATCAAGAGTTTAGGCAGTGTAACTGAAACTTTGAAAAGGACTTGGAATCTGGTGGCTTTGCTGAGGCAGAGGGCTACAGCTGTGGTTAGTGTGACTTTTGATAGAATAAAGGGGGGAAGAGTGACTGACTGTCATTCAGAGTGACTGAGTGATGTTTATTTATAGCACCACTTCAGAAGAAATGAAAAATTTGAAAGAGCTCAGTAAGGAACTAAAAGAACATCAAGTTAGGAAAATCAGTGGCACATACCACTTTAATCTTTTTCCTGACAAATTAATTGACTGTAATTTTGGTTATGCTCTACATGTGTTTGCAGTCCTCACCATTGGAAACTGTAGTCAGGAGTTCAGCTCATCATGTCTTTGAAAGCAGTCTGAGACACAGAGGAAGGAGGGATTCTCTATGTGCTCTGAGCCCCAGCCTCTCAGTGCTGGTCATTCCAACTTAGTTTTGTCCTTTCCTGAGGAACATTTGCTCCTGCTGCTGGGAGCTGCTCCTGGGGGCTCTTTGAAGGTCATTGAGCTGAAAATGAATGTTATGCACAGGAGTCTTGGACTGGTATTTGGGTCTAACTATCAGTCTCTTCTGGGTGAACTGGCAAGCACCTGCCACAAGGCTGAGACAGCAGCAAAGTCCTGACTGCTCCTTTAGCATCTAGAAAGTTGAGGACTTTATAAAGAACCCCTGCTATTTTTTAAGATATTACAAACATTGAATGCATGCCATTTTTTAATTTACATGGTTTATGTACTTTAAAAAGTTAAATAATGTATATAAGTAACAATAAATAAGTTTGAAAGTATCAGCAGCACAGAGCTTCATTATCTTTGTGTATCTCAGAAGTGAGAAGAGGGAAAACCTTTTTTAACTCTGTGAGAAAAATATTTCCAATTTTCAAGGTATATAAATTTCTGTGTTCCTGAGGTGTCTTTGGGACTGCAGCGCTCAGTTGTAACCATTTGGAATGTTAATGTACTGCTCTCATTTGAAACAGCAGAAGTCAGTACAGGCTGTGGTAAAGCAATCAGTATTTCAAGATTCCCTTATCAAGACTGGGGTAACTTCGGATCATTTTCCATAATGTACCTTATTCTCATGCAGTCAAGTTGCCTTTTGATAAATTAGAATTTGAATGATAACAGGCATGATGTCCACTGTTTTTCACTATGTGGAAAAATAAAAGCTCTTGAAACGACACATGTGCGAATCCCTTCTTGTCTTTATCAGGTTCTACTGGGGTTCATGGGTTATTTGCAACTGAAAAATACATTCTTTAAAATAAGATTAAGAATTTTTTTTATGGCTGCTGCTATTTCTGACAGACTGATTAGCAGCTCTTTCAATAGAAGAAATGAATGTCTAAAAGACAAGTTTGTCATAGCAGCTCTATTGAAGATGAATCTATTTTTTTCATCTTCCCTGCGTCAGGGAATCAACTGCTTGTCTAAAACGTCAGCACCATTTCAAAAATTGACATAATGTTGTACAACCATAAGTGTAGGAGGTTCTTTTGGTTCTTTAACTTTGTTTAAAATGTTGTGACCCAAGGGGACTCCAAAGAATATCTGGCAAGATTCACTAAGCAACATGGAATTTGAAATTGATTATTTGTCCAATTATTCCCGTTGGGTGATCTGGTCTCCCTGTGTTAGAATACCCTAAGTGGGGGTCTTGGTGATGATAAATATTTTGGCCTAACTTCTGAATGCAGAAAATCCCATATCGTGCATTATCTGTTTCTCCCTCTCTGGAGAGGCCTTTCTTTGAGAAGGATGTATTGTTCATAGTACAGAATTATTACCAAGCTTTTTGCTGTCTTAAGAATTCAGATTATAATGCTGACTTATGTCTTCTTTCTGTGTAGTTGTTTAGCCAACTTGGTTGTTCTTGAGGCATGTGGGCATAATATCTGCAGAGGAAGTGAGGGGTTTTTTGGCTTTTAGTAAAATCTTGGTTGCTTGCAGCCTTTTTGAGATTCCACCTGCACTCCTAGTTTGTTGTGAACTGTCTTGTAATGAATAAGTATTTGTAAAGCACAGAAGCCTGTTGATGTAGTACTCCTAACTAATTGCTTCCATCATTATGATCCAGACTCATGCTCCTGAAAGATTATTCTTGAAATAAAAAGTCTTGGATTGGGTTAGGGGAATGACTTACATTCCTGAATACTTAAGTACTTTTGAACTTGAAGTTTACAATCTTCTCTGGTTTTGCCAACAGAGTACTAAAGCAGAAAATGAAACGCCAGTCGTGAAATCTTCTCCAAGTGCCCTTAAGAAAAGTGAGCTTGCAGTTACACCAGAAAGGAAAGCTTACCCTGAAGGACAACCAAAAAGAATAAAGTATGTATGGACAAAACCTGACAAGAGTGTGTCTGCATCTGGGCAAGGGGGTGAGGGAGCAGAACCCAACTCCACAACCAAAACCTTTTTTACCATTGGGACATCTGTGGGGTGGAGCAGGCTTCACAGAGAGTCTGTGCAGTCCCTGTCCTCAAATGGTTTTGGGATTTACCTGGTCAGCTTGCTCTGACCTCACATCTGACCCTGACTGGAGCAAGAGGTTGGGCTACAAACCATCTGAATATCTTCTGCCCTGAATGATCCTGTGATTCTATGTTAGAATAAGCAGCTGTAAAAAACAGACTTGCCAAAAACTCTTGGTAGCTTTGTATTATTCAGTCTTCCATGCTTTTTGTTTTCAGTTGAGTTTCTGAGTTGTCTAACTATGATATGCTGTGGCGAATGAAATGGTCTTGGCAGTAGAATTTTGTCTATGCTTTTTATGTATTTGCCTTTTGGATACTCCAATTGACTACGAAGTACTGCATGTCTTAACCTTGCTGTTCAGTCTTAAGTTAATTGTCAGTTCTTTTACAATGGGATGATGTCAATATGGCAGGAGAGTAAAACAATTGGTCAAATCTGCAATCTTTGATAAGACTCTAGGTCTCTGGTAAAGCATATGGGGGAAAAATTCAGACTGTGAAAGTACATATAAGGAAATTCCTGTATATTTATGCCAGAGTGATACTTTCATTATTCTTTCTAGCTAAAATATCTTGCCTACAAAACTTGAAGTGAGAGAGTAGATGTTTTCTGGATCTTTCCATTTTTTTCTGATTTATTCTCAGAAAATACACTTGTTACTTCAAGTATGCAATCAACATACACTGATCATACAGGTCAGAAATGTTAATACCTTAAATTCCTTTTTCAAATCAGACAAAAAGAGGTCATTCAAGGGGTGTATGCCCCAGAAGATGTCTACGTTTTTCCTCTAACCAGAGTTGGGGATGCATGCACGTTAAAGGTGCACTTGCGGAATAACTCCCGTACAACACACGTGGTGAGTCTGACAGATTTAATCTTAAATAGATACTTGTAAGTCCTTTCAGTTGCTCAACTGCACTGGTTTTTTCTCTTTTACTCTTGACAAAGATTGCAATAGGACATGTCTTAGTTTGCTAGTACCAAAAATCAATATTTGAAGAATTTTGATGTGTAATTTTTCTGTTTTATCTGATTGAATAACTGAGTGTATTTGTAATATATTAATAGTAAAGTATGGTAGATCATAGTTTGCATAGGCTTGTTATTATTCTGATTTGTTGATTTTAATTTTTTTTATTAATTCAAAATATTGAGGTTAGTTTTTTTTCTTTATTGTTCACAAATGTGGGCATTCTCTATTTTTAAACCCTGGGTGTGTGTAAAGCTGTATTTGTAAATGACCTGATTTATCTTACACGTCATAAATTGAATATGATGGGCTTAAATATAGTGCAGTTTTAAGCATTTTGTATTAAATTACAGCTGAAATTTGTAAGTCCCAGGGAGCCTTTCTACATCAGGCACTTGAAATACTCTCTAAGGTGAGTAATGCATATGCTAACATTTTCTCCTAACAAAAAAATTAACCAAGTAATTCAGTAAGATAAATATCTTCTATATATGTACAGTGCTAAAATGTACATATAAATATTCTGGATTCTTTTGTTTGTGGTTGCTGGTTTGGTGGGGGGAGGGGCTTGTGAGGCTTTTTTGGTTGTTTTTTTTGGTTAAACTGTACTCTCTAATCTCTGTTCGAAACAGAATGAGCCCACAGAGTTATTTCCGCATCTGCCAATTTCTTCACTGCAAATTGTTTCTAACAGTGATGCTGCTTTTAATGTTAAGCATAATGCTTCATGTAGCCATTTGGCATGCTGTGCACAATCAAGTCACTCCTTCCATTTATACTTTCTGCACAACAGACCAAGCAAATTGCCTTCATCATGCTTCTAATTTGACAAACCTGCAGAGCTGCATCAAAGATTCTCTGCAAACACAAGGTTTCAGCAGCCACTGGAATTGTCTGGTCATACCAACTGTGTCAGCATTTTACCTGCATAAAAGAAATTTTTGAGTTAGTGATAGCAGTCCCTAAAAAAAAACCCAGTCATCTGTGGAGTTCATTACAAGTATGTGCCAGTAGTATTAGTCATCTCTTCAAGAAGTGCAGCATCTCACATGCTCATCTGCAACAGTGGGATTGTCAGGAAGCAGAAATGCTACTGTTTCATTAGAAGTGGTACAGCATACATTCTCAGTGTTTAAACAGGTTCCCATTTTAAACACAGGAAAGCTAAGGCTATAGAGAGCAGAAATTGTGAGCAAATTGTAAATGGAGTTAGATATTCTGCCTCCTAATCTGCCCCACATAGACAGGGCTGTGGTGGTGTTAGCCAGAGGTATTCAAGGTACTCTTAAGGCCACTTCTCAGTGCCAAGTGTTGTAACCCCTCTTAGCCTTGTGTTAGTGCTTCAATTTAAATGTCATCTTTTTATTAAATATTTCACATGAGAAGACACAGAAGGGTTTTTTGGGGGGGTAATGACCAGGATAACATCTATTCAAATAAAGACAACTACCTGGATCTGTCTGAGGCTGTACAGCAGCACACAAAGGACGGGATGACTTGATTTAGACATCCTTGACAAAAAAAATAGTAACTTCACTAGAAGATACTTTGATATTTCAAAAATATTTTTGAGGAATGATGTAGAAACTATTTGGTATATTTTCTGCATGAGATTATGCACTCCTACTGCATTTATCTAAAGTAGACTTAACAAGTTTAAAAGTCAGTCTACTATTTTTTTCCTAGTCATTTTGGCAGTTTTTTCTTTGGTTGTAAATACTAGCCTTTCCTATTAAAAAAAATAATTTCTCTGAAGTCAACATAATGCTCTCCCATTTATGAGCATAAAGCACAGAAGATTTGCTTGACTTGGATAGATTTTTTTTAAAAAAGTGTTAGAAGTGTTTTAAAAGGCTTTTATTCAAGAATAGCATCAAGGAGGATATCAGTAAAGCTGCCGGTAACTGTTTCCTTCTAAACTTGGCATCTGAGGAAGTAATGGTCAAAACTAATTGGATGAGAGGACTCTTTGCAGGAACTTGAAATATTAGTCTGTAAATAAGAGTATAAGAGTAGAAAGTACCATCTACTTTTATGTTTTTTGCCTAAAAAATTGTAATGTACTAAATGTGGTCTATTGGATGCTCGTAATTTTGAGGGCCAAATTTAAAAGTAATCCTGTGTAATCAAGTTTTAAATCTAGATAAAGAAAGTGAAACTTTGTATCTAATATCAAGAGTCTTGTCCTTCAGAATTTGGTGTAGTGGTTTTGCCAGTTCTTCAGTTGATTATGCAATCCCAAGTACCAGTACACAGCTCTGCTGTGGAATTCTGTCTCCAATTTACACCCAAAAGAGTTCTATTTGTTGACAGACTAGAATTTCTTCTACTGCAAGGAGAATACTTTTAACAATATGACTCTTAAGTGATACAAAAGTATGAATAAAGCATTAAAAAATGACAAATTCCTGTTTTCGGAAGGACTACCATGTTGCTATGCCTACTTTAAGCTTGAGAACAAAAGTGTCCCAATTTTACTGCTTTCAAAAGCCATCTGATTACAGAATAGTATATTTTCCAAATACTACTATAAGGTAAAGCTGTTTGTTGAGTTGTTCCCTTCACTAATTAGTTTTGTTTCCAGTAGCCACCCTTCTGGGTGTCAGTGATCACTGTTCATTGATGAACCATTTGGTTACTGTGACTTACACTGGGCTAACTGCCCATACTCTTCTTTTCCAACTTACTGCAGTGTTGTGTTTTGAGGATTAGAGGATTACTTTGTCTGTGAAGCAGGCTTCAGACATGCCTGACTTTTCAGAAATGGGCGCTTGAAACTGATGCAACAACCTGTAAAAGCCATACACTAATCAGAGACTAACTGAGGTGCTGGCATAGTGGAAAGTTTGAAATAAAAGGGCTGTTTTAAGAGAAAAAGAGTTAACTGCAGCAGAATTCTACTTGTCCTGAAACTATAGTTTTTGATTACTGTACTTGAGAAAAATCTTCCAGATTGCCTAATTTCTGAGAACATTTATGTTATGGAGTAGCCCAAAGAGCTATTACATCTGGAGTCTGAACTTTTCCAGTCTTGTAGCTGAGAAAATGAAATGGAAGCAAGTGTGATGAGTCTTTTCTCACTTGTGAGAATTACAAAACAGAGTACATGATGTCTGATTTACTCTGCTTTTAGGGAAGAACAATAATGTGTTTAGCACCCACCCATTGGACACCTGAATTTAGAGATCAAGAGGAATTCAATATGGTTGTCATTTGCTAAGAACTGCTCTGCCTCAGTACCATTCAGGCCATATGGTACATATACTGGAAATTAAAATTTGACAGCCAGATGTGGCCATCTTTTTGAAAGAGCAATACCTAACTTACTGTTAAGTTTTTGATAAAGTGTAAGTTTGAGAATGGTAATATTGTTCTTTTTGAATAAGTGTTATGTAATGTATCAGGGAGCATACATATATTATTTTGGAGATGATACAGACTTCTGCATCTCTTCTGGCTTTCTACTGAATTTACTTCTATAAATTCTCAGGTGGCCTAGTTATATGCAGCTTCACACTCTATTCCTACTAAAATTTATGTTTTCTAGCATAATGCAAGTTACAGATTAAATAGTCATACTGACGTCCTTCACTTTAAAAAATTGATTTTCTGTTAAATGAGCTGAGTAAATATCTTCAGCCTGTATATCATAGATGGCTAAAAAGACAGACACTGCCAGATTTGTTATACAGCACTTGGCAGTCAAGTATGAGACATGAAGCTGATTTGGTTGTATTCCTTTGGTGCACTGTTGGATGTAGTTCACTATGGTACAATCAGTACTTTATTTTTGTATTCACCTGATGAAAAAATACAGTAGCATCCCAGTCTTTATTCTAAATGTGTATGCTCTTATTTGATTGACCAGGCCGTTGTAAGAAAAAAATCACTGGTGTGGTTACTTGAGCACTAAGGATACCAGCAAATGAGAATTGTGTGTAAGGCAGGTATTACGCTTTCAGATGTGGTAAGGGATAGAGTAGAAGGTTAAAATCACAGACTGATTATAATAGCTTGAATTAGTGTAGAGAAAAGGAGTACAAAAAGGTAGGAACACTGTGAGAAAAAGTAGGAGAAATAAGCACATTCCAGCGGACTTTGGACAATACTATACACTCTTAAGGAAAGGAAAATGAAGGAATAGTAAAAGCAAACAAAACTGTCTTTTCTGTTTCTACTAAGTGGGGATGTTCTATAATTCCTTATTTCAGTTTGTGCCTGTTACTGCCACCTGTTTCAGAGCTGAATGTTTCTATTGGATGCTATGGAATCCAATAGACTGCCACTCAGAATTTTCAGCAATTGCTTTTACAGCTTATATTTTTAAGTAATTCAGTCTAGGCTTTTGGCAATTAACACGGATACCTATTACATTTGATATGTTTTTATGTAATCCAAATAGAAGAGGAAAAATTGTGTAAGAAAAATGGTGTAAGATTTCTAAAATGCTGTTTGAGGATGGACGTACTGATTTACAATAATTCAACAAAACATTTCTTAATGTGGAGGCAATTAAAAGTAATAGAATTTAGTAGCTTCAAATGCATGGATTTCAGAAAAGACTTGGAAATCTTAGTGTACTTGTGTGGTGTTTGAAGGGAAGAAATGTAGTCATTTTGCTCTTAATAAAGTTTATGCACTGTCAGTATTGCCAAGAGGCAGACCAAGCTTACCAAGGTAAAGCAGCAGTAAAGTATTGTATTACTTTGTATAATCAGAAGGAAAAAATTACCTTGAAGGTGAAAGCCCTTTAGAAGAAAAATAGATAATCAAATCTATAAAACTAAACTTGATGATCTGGTGCACATCCAGTATACCATTGTGGTGAAAATCTAAACTAGACAAGAATTTGTCTATCAGGTAGTATTTACTTCTTTATTAACAATTTCTATGCCCACAATTGCCTTTTTAGATCCTGTCACTACATTGCTGTGCCCGTCCAGTTCAAGCCAAAGGTAGAAGGAATGTTTGAAGATGTCTTCGTTGTGCTGACAAGCAGATATGGCCCAATTAAAATTCGGCTTTATGGTAAAGCTATTGCAGAAAAATAGAACAGTTTTTTATCTGTTTATAAGAATTTATAACAGTTAATATAATTTAAAATATTAAAAGATTTGCTACTACATTTCCATACTAATGTCCTACTTGTTTTGCCCTGTGATGCTGCTTTGATGAAAAGTCTTCTGTAAGATAAATTATGGTGCTTGTTTCACAAATCTGTTTTGATAGTAAAAACAGTGAGAAATAACATTGTATGTTGTAAAGTTACCATTTTGTAATTTATGTTTCTGCACTTTTAAAGGAAATGGAAGTTTTGTATTTTTGCATTTATTAGAAATAGCTAGATACTGATATATTTTATTTTAAACATTGTAAATTCAGAAATAAAATCTATTTGTAAACAGTTGGTTCTACCTGATTTCTGTCTGTTTCAGAGAATTGTTTGCTGTACGTAAGGGATCAAGCTGCCTTCTCTTAGACAATGCTAAATTTTTGGGGGAGTGTGAGGGAACAGGGGTAGGCACTGCAGTCCAGAAGCTGATCTATGAATATCACATTTCCATGAGGTAATGCTGGGATCTGACAATCAGCCCCCACCTTTTTACACAGTTCATTGGCAGGCATAAGCATTGTTTTTAATCTAACAGTGTGAAAACAATGTAAATTTTAACATGACCAATAATGCCTTCAGCCCTCCAGAATTATGCATCTTACCCAGTATTCTGTCTCTGAAAGTCACACAAAGATGATGTTACTTTGAGAAATGATGGAAGCCTGGCTGTCTACTGGTTCAATTCCATTTCCTCAGTGTCTGCCACCAGATGAATAAGGATGGGAGGTAGAATCCCACCTCTGCCTTTTCGCTGCATTTATTGGCCTGTTTGTGAATTCACCTGTTCACATTTTTTAACCCATTTGAGACTGTTTCCACGACTCCATGTGGCAGCAAACTCTAAACGTTCACTGTCTATTATTCTTTTAAGAAAATTTGAGTTTTCCTGTGATAAACTGGATTATTTCTGATTTGAGTACTCTCTAATTTTTATATTGTAGGAGTCATTGAACAACTGTTCCCCCATCCCTTGTTGCCATGTCATAGATTCATAGAGTAGTTTGGGTTGGAAGGGAACTTTAAAGGTCATCTTGTCCACCACCCTTGCCATGGACAGGAGCAACTTTAACTTGATGAGGTTGTTCAGAGCCCAACTCAGTCTGATCTGAAATTTTGCTTCCAAGGATAGGATGTCTTCCTCTGCTCTGGGCAGCCTGTTCCCAGGGTATAATTGCCTTTCTGGGCTCCAGGTGCACATTGCCAGCTCATGGGCAGCCTCTCTCCCACCAGCACCCCAGGCTGGACTGGGCAGGGCTGCTCTTGATCTGTTCATTCCCATGAATGGTGCTGGGGCTGCCCTGACCCAGATGCAGCCCCTTGCACTGGGTCTTGTTAAACCTCAAGAGACTCCCAAGAGCTCACTTGTTGAGCTTGTCCAGGTTCCTGTGGATGGTATCCCATCCTTCAGGTGTGTCCTTCCCTGCTCAGCTTGGTGTCTGCAAACTTGCTGAGGGTGCACTCCATCCCTTTTTCTGTACCACCAATGAAGATATTAAATAACACTCGTCCCAGTATGGACCTTTGAGGGACAGCACTTGGCACTGGTGCCCACTGGGCCAGCGATCACTACCCTTTGGATATGACCATCCAAACAATTTCTTAGCCAGTTAGCAGTCCACCCATCAAATCCATCTCTCTCCAGTTTAGTGTGGGATCTCAGCACCTCAGGACTCAGGTGCCGAGTCACCGAGACCACCCTTGGGGGGCTTAGGAGTCCTGGAATGTTGCCAGAAGTGTCTGGTGGCTGGACTTTGATCCTACACAGGAGACGACACTTGTATGAGGATAGGAGGATTTCACCGGAGTGAATGGTGAAGGGATAAGTTAATTAGAGAGTGAAACACAGGATTTAGGATTTCTGTACAGGGGGGTTTAGAGAAGTAAGATGGAGGAATTGGGGCGTGTCCTGTCCTTCTTCTTCTTCTTCTTCTTCTTCTTCTTCTTCTTCTTCTTCTTCTTCTTCTTCTTCTCCTCCATCTTCTGTGGTGATGGTGGCACTTTGGGATTGGTCATTACTAAAAGTGCACTGGTTAATAAGGGCAAAAGGTATTGGGGAAAAATGATAAATATTGTATACGTAACTTTGAGTATAAATATAGGTGACCGCCCCGGAGGGCAAGGAGTGTGCTCAAGGCTGGCTGCTGAGCAGACCTCTGTCGGGCCGAGAGAAAATCTTTTAGATAAGCAATTAATAAACACCGAGACCGAGAAAAGATTTGAAGCCTCTTCTCATCTTTGAAGCGCGGGCTGCCCCAAGGCCACCCCGGGCCTTTCCAGGCCATCCAAACAGCCGAAAATCGGACAGTTTAGAGAGAAGGATGTTGTGCAGGACTGTGTCAAAGGCTTTAAAGAGTCGAGATAACATTTGTAACCCTTCCCTTTTTCCCTGATGTAGCCGCTCCATGCAGAAGGCCATCAGGCTGGTTAGACAGGATTTCCCTTTGGTGCAGGGTGCTGCCTGTCTCAAGTTGTCTCCCTGTCCTCCATGTGTTTTAGCATAGCTTCTAGGAGGAGCTGTGCCATGATTATCCCAGGCACAGATGTGAGGCTGATGGGTCAGTAGTTCTTGGGCTCCTCCTTTCTACCTTTTAAAAATGGGTGCAATGTTTTCCTTTTTTCAGTCACCTGGGACTTCACCATCATGACTTTCCCAATATCATATTGCTTGTAGCCTTTGGCTCTGTCTTCTATTTTATTTTTGTAGCATGTATGGCCAAAGTTGCTTTAAGATAGAAGTGCAGGTTTTTGTGTTATTCTGTCATAGCATATGTACATTATTCCCTCCTTCAGGTTGGTAGGAGTGTGAGTGAAATTTGTTTTAGTAGGAGGTTGTTGGTTTAACAGCATTTAAAACAGCTGAAATGTGAAAAAGCAGGGTGGAAAGACTTGAAGTACCCTCTGCATTGCCTTTGGTACATACCATCAGTGTTAAGTAAAAGTATACTAAAGCTGCTGTTTCTCAGCAGTCTGGAAACCAGGAAGGGCAGATTTATTAAAAGAAATTAAACTAGAGATGAGAAGTCTTGTCACCTTATTCTCCCAACATGTAAGTTCATGTCTATGAGATACTGTGACCATGCTCTTTTTGCCCTCTTTCTGCCAGATGTTTTGTGTTTCCTCAATTGCTGTGATGCCTGTGTACTTCTGAGTACAGAATTGGAATAGAGGGAATCTTCTGCCTGCTGCCTTAGCTTGACAGGCTTGACTGCTTCATTTAAGAAGGACCTTAGTGTACAAAAACCCGTGTCTGATCAGTTTTAGAAGCACAATTGGAAGTCTCTTCCAGAGCTGAAAAAAAGACTAAGCTGCCTTTGAATTACAATAAGAAGCCCTGATTTTGAATAATGAAGTATTTGGTGTAAATTCTGAATTGTCTTTGTGTTTTACTCCTCTGCTAGGCCTGCTGTCTGTGACTCTGTTCATACTTCTCCTATGGACTTTTCTTGAGTTCTTGAGAAGAATTGGGACGAATGGTTATGCATTTTTTCCTATGTTTTCTCCTGGGTTGGATGTAAGGGAGAAAAAGGACGCAGAATGTGCTGCTGTGGATATTCTGGTGAACTATGCTTGTGTACATAAATATGTAAATATATACAGGTGAAATACATCTAAGTATGAGCAAATGACCTGTCTTCATAATCCAGGGGAATCCTGATTTGCAGATGATATGAATTATTTTGGTACCTGTTTGCAGCCCACTGTGCTTGTTTCACTCCTAATAATGACTTTCACTTTCTTTGCAGTCATTTCAAACTGGTTCCATTCCTTCTCCACAAAATAAGATTGCTTCGTTCCCCATGATTGCTTTATTTATATAATAAACTTCTTCTGTAGTCAAGACAATCTTGCTTTGATTTTTCCAGTACTTACAGTGAAGAAGTCCTGATTTCTGTCTACTTCTTTTAGAGATGCAGAAAAACAGAACAATTCTGTCCAGAATTTGATTTGATTAAGATTTTAAGCTGTAGTACTTTTAATAAAGTAAGCAGAATTAACTTTAGGTATAATTCTTTTCTTATTTTGATCTTTGACAGCTTTGAAACATTTTTTCAATTTTCTCATGTTGCTGGCTGCAATCTTTTGTCTCAGACTGGCAAGATTGCCTCAAATGCCCCAAGCAGCAAACTTAAAAAAAACCCAAACAAACCTAAAACTATGTCTTTTTAATTACAGCGATCTTGCTTGTTGATTTTAATACCAGTCAGAAAGGAAATTCAGAAAAGAATTATTTTTAAAAATTCATTAAGTGTCTAGCACTGAGGATGTCTGTGTACCTGTTCAACCTAATTGGGATATTAGTAATCATAATTATTCAAGAGCTTTGTAAAGTTTTCACATCATTGGCTGCAAATGGGGTTGTAATACATTCTGTACACGTGCTTCAGTGTGTTTTGGAGATGGTTGCCCTGGCATCTGAAACTAATTAGTGTTCAGAAAACCTCGTATAGGTGCATATCAAGGCCTGGCTGTCTAGAAGGTTATTTTGATGATATAAAAGCTTATAATGGTAAAGAGAATATTGTGAGTGTTTTTTGATACATAAAGTAAATTACTGAGGCCAGTGCTGGCCTTTTGAAATAGAATACTAAATACTCTGGGCATTTCTGTGGTAGGAATGCCTGATAGGTCAGATGCTGGTATATTCTTGTTCCTATGATTTGTGGAGGAGTTGAGGGGTAACAAGGTTCACTGTGAGGTTAGTAGGTTATGTATGCGATCTTATGTATCTGAGGTTATGTATCTTATGCATGTTAGCTTGCCATACTGCAGCATCTTTGGAAATGAGAAAAGGCATTCTGGGAGCCAAAGTCCTTGGAAGTCGGTGAGAGAGTGGGCAGGTGACATAAGATCAGTTGTCCCTCGTACTGTAATTGAGTATCCTGACTTTTAGTCACAGCTATCTTGTTCTACCTTGTTTCCAAAAAACCTCCAGGTAACACAAGTTCATGCCTTACTGCTTTCATTGTATAGCATAAATGAAGAATATACATCTTTTTATAAGAATGACAAACATCAAGTATTTGGGTGAAGGATCCACCTGCCTGCCATGATGCCTCATATTCAGTAAGAAAGGTGACTGTTAATAATTTTTTAAGTGGTAGTGTTTGCATTATACCATTTTTCTCCCCAAATTTGCCAGTTAAGTAGAATATTGTTTCTAGCTTCCCATTTGAAAATTTGAGTTGGTATTAACAGTAGAAAATATTTTTCTCAATGTTCTTATAACAGTAATGATTTTTCGCCTTTAGAGCACT